AGGCTAGTGGCTGTAGTCACCATCCTGTCCACTGGGAAGTGACCTTGGACAAGCCAAAGGGCTCTCTGAGCTCTGCCCCCTGCCTGCCCAATAGCAATGGAGGTCAGTGCCCCGCACGAGAGACAGCACGCCCTGCTCCGGAGGCCACACCAAGTAGCATCCTCCTCCTCATATTGTCACCACAGTCACTTATGAACACCATCACCTCCAGGGCTGCCCTGACAGAGCCAAGCTCCAGAGGCTGGCTGTTGGTGCTCCAGACCACAGCGGGTGACCCCAGCCCCAGAGGGCTCACAACGACCAACATCAGCCTAGCGAGGCTGGGGCTGTTCACAGCCTTACAGACACGGTAGGGAGCAGTTCGGAAACACCCTGAAAACCACTGTCTCGGGAGCCTGTGTCTAGGATGGAGCCAGCGCCCATGGCCCTGACCTCTATTTTGCTCACCACTAGAACCCATCCTGGGCTGGCACATGGTAAACTAGCTACCATTGAACCAAGTCCAAGTCATGGCGACCCCGTTTGTGTCAGGGCAGACTAGGCTCTACGGGGGTTTCAACGGCTGCTTTACCAGAAGGAGATCACCAGGACTTTCTTCCTAAGCACCTCTTTGCGAACTTGAATTTCCAACCTCTCAGTTAGCAGCCGAGCTTGTGTTATCTACACCACCCCCACCTCTGTAACTACTTGTTGATGAATGAACAAACAAATGAACAAGTGAATGCCTTGTCTACTGTGTGCCTTTCCCGAGGTCATGAAATGAAGCAAGAGCTGATTCTGCCCCCAGCTCGCCCCTCCTGGCCTCAGTTCCCTATTCCACACCCCCACACCCTCACCCCTCCTCCTGACGCAAGGCTGGGACAAAAGGCAGCACACACCTCCCCAGCCCAGCCACAGTGAAGGGAGCTCCTCCCAGCCCAAAGAAGCCGGAGTCGCTGGGGCCTGGCTCCCCTAGGGAGACTCCCCTTCTCTCCCCTTCCACCAGGGACCCTGCTTAGCAAATCCACTTGTCCAGATGCCAGGGGAAAGAGGGAACTCTCTCTGGAAGTTCTAGTGGGCAGGGGCCCATCCACCCAGCCTCAGGACTGTTTCTCCAGGTGGAAACCAGGACCTCTAGCCTCCCACCCCAACCCGCACCTCGGCTCTCCCCAGTGCCTGGGAATGGCCTCTACCAGCCATCAGGCTCTGGCTACCAGGACTGCTGACCAGAGGCTCGGCTGGCGAGTGTGGGGCTCACTCACTCCATGTCAGAAGGTCCCCATTATGCTCCTGACCGAGTGCAGGCCCAGCCAGGGACAGTCCCACTGGCCATGCATGCTCAGACCAGAGGACTCCAAGTAAGCGACCCAGAGACACAGGAGGACCCACTAAAGCTTCACTTACTGGTCTGCACAGCACACGTCACGGGGGAGTCGAGATTCTGCACAGGGAGAAAACGGAAAGAAAAACGAAAAGAAGCTACCACGGGCTCCTCCCCAGCCTCCCTGCCTCAGCCATCCCCCACTTGCCCACCCCGACCCCCCGTGTATCAGAGGCCAGAGGGGCTCCCCTCGTCGTCCCCTTAGCTGCCCCAGGAGATCCTGATGCATCAGGCTGGGCTCTTCCCGGCCTCTCCCCTGCAGCAGAGGCCGGCTCTGCTCCAGCCCTCTCCTCCCAGCACCCAGCACCTTTGCTGGGCTGGGCCCTGCCTGGGAAGCCCTCTCCTCTGTTCCCCCAATGAGCAGCCTCCTCCCATCCTTCATTTGGGCTCCTCCTGGAAGGCCCCCTCCAGCACCACGCCCTCCATGCCCACTCCTGTCCCCCTCCCGTGGCCCTCTTCCCACCATCTCTGCCTCCTCCTGGAAGATTCTGAGCTGCTCCCCTCTGCCACCTGCAGAGGCCGTCTGAACAGGAATCCGAGGGCTCAGCCCACAGGGAAGGGTCCAGCAGCCCCTGCCCTCCTCCCACTACAGCTCCCCGACCCTGCACTTCACACTGGCCCAGCCCTGGGAGAAGGGCAGGTGGGCCAGGCCCAAGGAGCATTGGTCTGGCCCAGACGTCGGGGTCCTGGCTCCAGCCATGTGACCCTGGCCCACTCCTCTGGGCCTTAGTTGTCTCACAAAAGGGGGAAGAGGGTCCTGCTGTACAGAGAGCCAATGAGCGGACTGATGTGGGGGAATGGGGGAGACTCTGAAAGCCTGAGTCTTAGGTGAAGAAAGGTGGGGTGCCCCCAGAGAGCCACGGCAGGGACACCTACTCAGAGGAGCCAGGCTGGGACTTATATGACCAGCGGATGAGACCCTCCTCTCTCCTGAGCCTGGACATCCTCCTTCTTTTCCTACATTCTCACAACACTGGACCCATTGCTCAGGTGGGGAGACTGAGGTCCCAGCAGGGTCAGCACTGCAGTCACAGAGCCAGAACTAAAAACCTAGGCCTCTCACCTCCCACCTCCAGCTCCAGATGTGTCTGTGAAGATGCCCACCTGGCCCCAAGGGGAGAAGGGTCAGGCCCCAGGACCTAACGGCAGAGCCCTGGATTGCCAGGAAGGCACACAGGCACCACTGGCTTCCAGGGAGTGCACTCCTTTCAGAGCATTCCAGGCCTCTCTTGCCGCTAGATTTTGTACACGCCGATCCTCTGCCTAAACAGCTCTTCTGCACCATCCCCTTCACTGTCACCCCCCTCCTTCCTATCCCTCCTTCAGGTCTTAGGTTGGAGGCCACTTCCACCAGAAAGCCTTCCTTGATGTCCTCAAAGGCTCCTCCTCTGAGCTCAGATCCTTTCTGCTTCCCCCTTAGAAGCAGGTGGACAGAGCAGGGCTGGCCCTCCTCAGCCATTTTCTCACGATTCCACAGATAACGTGTGTGGAATGAACACACAAGGAGCAAACAGGAGGCCAGTGGGCTGGGCTCAGTCTGCAGGCTCCCTCCTCCCTGCTGAGCACCACTCCCAGGGTCACAGGTAGACCATCCCCCTTGCTGACCTCCCAAGACCCTCCCCACTACCCAACACTCACCTGCTCCCCAGCCTTCCCACGGAGGACCGGCTGCGGCAGCGCCTTCTCCAGTCTGTGCAAGAGCCATGCCACCAACCTGCAGCGGGAGACGGTAAGGAAACGGGCCACAGACAGATCCCTCCCAAGGCAAACAGCAAGCCTGCCAGAGCCCGACCAGAACTCAGCTCTCCAGCCTCGAAGACAGCAGTGCCCCCTCCAGGCAAGCCTGTAACTACACTCAGACCCCAGCGGGTGGTTCAGCTCCCCTCTTACTGCGGGGTGCGAGTGTTTGCAATACCTATCCCAACTGGGCAGACCCTGGTGGTGCGAACCGTTAACACTCTCAGCTCCTAACCTAAAGGTTGGAAGTTGGAGCCCACCCAGGGGCACCTCAGAATAAAGACCTGACAATCTGCTTCCAAAAAGTCAGCCATTGCAAACCCTGGGGAGGGCAGTTCTACTCTGACACATACCCGGTGGCCATGAGTTGGAACTGACTGGACAGCAACTGGTTTTCATGCCAGTTCTAAATGCGAGTACCCTTTGGCTCTGCGGCTCCTTTTCTGACAAGGTATCTTACCAGTTTACTTGTACATGAGCCAAACAATGTGTGTAAAAGGTTACTGATTGCAGCAAAAGATTGAAAACAAACATACATGTCCACCACATGGCTAAACCGCGCTGATCCAGCCCTACGATAGGGTACCATGAGGCTACTAAAGACAAAAGCCGACCACACGTGTGAGGCAGAACCAAGACAGCCCCTGTAGCTTGCTGGTGTCAGGTGTGTGTTTAAAGGAGAAATACGTCCCTAAGCTCACATGTGCTCGGAGCATTAGGGAAGGACAAGAGGCTGCTAACACGGGTTCCTGGGGACAGGCTCTGCAAAGCCACTTGCATTTCTTCCCCGGTGCATGCATTACTTCTATGATTTAAAAACTCCTCTGGTGAAGGCTGGGTGTCCTCTGGGGCAGCCCGCTGATCCCGGCGTGGCATGCAGGTGGCCCACCTGGCAGGGTCCCCGGGTGGCGGCAGGGAAGAGATCTGGAAGCCAGGCTGGGGCTCTGGAGCTGGTTCCTCCTCCGGCTCCGGGGGGCTGGGGGTGGGCAGTGAGGGACTCCCTGGGGCCTGCAGCTCGGGCTCCGTTTCCAAGGGGGCTCCTTCGGGCTCTATAGCAGCAGGGAGAGAGAGAGGTGAATGATTCCACCGCAGGGTTCCATACAACCTCTTGAGGGCAGAGGGGACTCGAAGCACCAATATGGCTGAGGAAGGAGCCCTTTGAAACCAACCTCAGCCACTCCCATCATCAGACAGACGTGGAAATTGAGGCCTGAAGGTGGGGGCTGAGGGTAGGTCTCTGGCTTCCCAGTCTGAGCTGGGGAATGGGTTCCAGTGCCCCCAACACCTGCCCTCAGGAAGCCCCGGATGTTTCCCTTGCCCTGGTAAGTTAGGGTAAAGTAAGGTCTGTCTGTTCTGCCCAGACTCCCACAGACTCCAGTTTCTCCCCTAGCCCAGCCTAGGACAGCACCCCCCACACCCAGACCCCTCCCTGTACCTGGGTCCGAGGCAGCATCTGTGAGCCTGGCCCTCCAGCCCTGGATCATAAGCAGGAGTCAGGTATGGATCAAAGCAAGCCCTGTGCTCTTCCTGCCTTGGCCAAGTCCACCCCGGTCGGGGCGGGTAGCAGGGGGCTCCATCCTTCCACGACCCTCCACCCCACAGTCAGTCCTTCCCAGGCAGACAAGGCCTCTCCATGGAGGAGAGCACCCTGTTCCGTGGGTCCTGGGGTGGGCTTAGCCTCCTGGGGTAGGCAGGTCTCTCCTGGGGCCCTAGAAACCTCCCAGGAGTCAGTTGCCTGCTCCCTTTTCTCTTCAACTCACCTCAGAGGTTTTGGGGGGCTGAGGCAGCACTTTCTCCAAATTCTGCTCAAACCACCTGAGCAGCCAGGACCCGGGCCTATGGAGGGGCTGATGGTTAGCCACGTGACCTGGAGGAGTGGGCCCTCCTCCCAGGGGGCCAGGCCTGGAGCAGCCCTTCCTCATCCCTGGCTCTCATTCTACTCAGTAGGGCCTGGGCCTGGACGCCCTCTAAGAGCCCCAGGTGATGCAGGAGCTTGGGCCAACCTCACATTCTGCCGCAGGGTTGGAC